CTGTTGCGGGAAGACGTAAGATGTGTACGCCAAACATGCTGATAGATGCCCACTATGCTGACAGGAATCTGGGTGTCACGGTGAGTGGCCTGAACCAGAGCAAGCCTGCCCGGATTAATGTCCAAGAAGCGGGGGTCCTGGAAGGCCTTGCGCTTCAAGAGAAACAAGAGGCCCGTATTCCTGCCGAAGCCGTCCGGATCACAACGTCCCGACGTATGCATGGCCAGCCAAGGGCCGGCATAGTAGTCAGAAGTCTCATGCCAATGTGATTCTTGCACTACCACAATGTCAAGTTCAGCACAGGTTTCACACCAAGCAAGGAATTCTTGATACATGGAGCTAGTCAATCCCCCTGCGTTCCACGACAGAATCCGTAGGTGCCTGTCGAGCGTAGTGCGGCGCACCGCGCGTTTGGCAGTTGACCTGGGAATGTCGGGGGCAGGCTTTGGGAGATGTCCAAGCGTAGTGGCGGAGTGCCACTTGCCTTTGTACCAGGTGCCCTGGAGGGGCGATGCATGTGCTCTATTTCGGGCTCTACGGAATGAACGCTTAGTTGATCGGGGAAGGTGTATGCCAGGAATCTGGGTAGCTGGCGCCTGGGGCGGCACTAAGTCGCGATGCTTCCCCGCCGCAGTAGCGACGGGTTCCCCTCCTGCCGCGAAGCCAGGAGGAACCCGCACCCCACCTGCCTGATGAAACAAACTGCACACAATGGACATGGTAAGGCAGGCTCCGGACTTGGGACCGGAGTGACGCACGGTGAGTTGCTTATGAGCTGCGGTTTGACTAGCTGATGGGGGTGATAACCATTGCTCGAAGCAGATTCGCAAGACAGAAGTGGCTCCTTCTGCAGCAGCCGTTGGCGTAGCAGAGTCACTCTGCACTTGGCTGAGGTTCCTGTGAGGAGGCTTATCTTGAGGTTGGGATCTGCACTTAGGGTGGGACCTAGGGTCAGGGTGACTTAGGGTCTTAGGGGGGTGGGTTTGCTTGCCATGGTGGCTCCTGGAGCGGGCTACCAGCAATGAGCCAAGGTAGGGCAGCACGAGCTCAATCGTCATCTGCAGGGTCTCGGGCACGAGGAGCACGACGGGGCCGGCGCGGGTGGGTGTGGGAATACTCCCAGTCCGCCCATTGCTGCAATCTATCTCCAGAGAGGGAGGCGTGCGCTGCTCGCTGCAGCCGCCACCAATCTTGACTTGACAGTCGGCGCCGTAGAGCACCAACCCTGGCACCTTGAGAGCGGCTCGTGATTCCCGGAACAGTGGCTGCAAGCTCCATGCGGTAGAGACCCAGGAAGTGGCCGAGGGCCTCCTGCAGTGCTGGTCCATCCAGGCACACGCTGTTGTCGCTCCAAGTTGAGGAGTTGCGAGAGGAGCTGCCACCACCGTCGGAGCCGGAGCCACTGTCCTCCGCAGATTCACTGGTGGTCTCAGCAAAGCGTCCATTTGGCAGGTGTGGTCCGGCAACTCGGACGTGGCATTGCCTGCCGGACTCATCAGTTTCAAGGACCGTGGGCCACCGTCTCTCTGGCTCATCGTCGCTGTCGTCGTCCGTGTCCTGTGCAGGCTGCGGATCGGCAGAGGCTCGGGCGCTGTGAGAGACCATAGTCGCACCTCCGACGGGTACTGGTGGGGGAGGGCCCTTAGGCAGGAGGTCAGCAGCTCGCAGAGGACCACGATTGTGATCATGCGGAGTGTTCTCGGTATCGTTGATCGCCGCGTCTTCAGCTGCAGTGGGGTCCATGGCATCGTCATCCATGTAAGTTTCACCCAAGAGACACCAACCAAGAAGAAAAGAGAAGCCCCGGAAGACAAAGGAAACCCGGGCACTCACCTGTGAGCCAGGGGGCTTTCATCATCATCATCATCATCATCATCATCACCGCCATCACCATCATCACCATCGCCAATCACCATATCATCATCATCATCATCACCATCATCATCATCGTCAATCACCACCATCATCGTCATCATGATGATTATCTTCATTATCGTCATCGTCATCAGCATCAGCATCAGCATCATCACCACCATAATCTACGTAATGATGACGATGATGACGATGATGGTGGTGATTGACGATGGTGGTGATTGACGATGGTGATGATGGTGATAACGATGATGATGATGCTGCTGATGCTGATGCTGATGCTGATGCTGTTGTTGATGATGATGATTCATCGTCATCGTCATCACTGTTGTCATCCTTGTCCATTTGTTGACATGGTCGCCGTCTCTCACCTTTTTTTTGTTTCATCACATCGATTTCGTCACCGTCATGCTCGTGATCGCGCTGATCGCAAGTGCTCGTGCTGCTGCATGATAGTCTCACGCTCAGTTCCTTTGCGCTGGACCGGGCTTGTCAGTTTCTGCTGTGGGGAAGCTGAGGTTTCAGCGCGGTCGAAGGAGGCTACATCTCCACCGAAAGCAGCTGCAACTGCGCCAATCGCGGTTGCCTTAGTCTAAGAAGGGTGATTGGCTGCTCGGAAGTCTGCCATGTCTTGACGGCAGGGGCGTGCACGGGCGGACACGGCCTGTGGCATCTTCGCGATGACCTCGGGAGCTGTGAAGGATTGCTCTCGATGGTGTAATGGCGCTTGTGACGAACCAAACAACAACATATGCAGGTTACGTAAATGCAAACAACACTAGTAATTAATGCATGCGCTGATTTTGCTTGAGCTAAGAGCGAGGTTTGTGAAACTCAGCATCTGAAGTCAATGCAAGAGGTAGTTCTGCTTCAGATACTGGCTGCAGGGGATAGCAACTGCCCGTCGACACATGCAAAAGAACCCTTTATTGCCTTTCGGGAAAGCGACCGAAGGTGTCGGTAGAGTAGTGCAATCGGCAGCGGGAATCATGAGTTTGGCAAATTCCCTCGGGGCAACCTGCAGCGCCACTTAATATTTCGGCCTATCGCCCTGCATGTCCGTCTCTTGAGTGCCAGCGTCTGCATCTGGAATACAGCTTGCTTCCCTGCTTGATTGCCTGCCTGCCTGACTGCTTCCAACTTGCCTGCTTGCCGGCTTGTGCCACGGCTGCGTTCTTACTTGATGGCGTTACGGTCTGCATGTTATAGTCAGCTTGGCTGGTCTGTGTTGCAAGATGGTGGAGCATGGTGGCAAGAGCAGTATTCGGATCAGTGTCTTCATATGTGCTTTGACTTGCCATGTTAGTTCAAATTCATTCTTGTTGCTTTCGGTGCTGTCCACATCTCTGTAGATATGGGTTTTACCATCATTCTGACCTCGCCACGGCTCCTAGGAATACGACTCGAAGGAAGCAAGCATCGATGCAAACATTGGATTAGCTGCTCCGGGATTTGCAAATGCTGTCGCTGAGCTCGGACCTAACGAATCGACACGTTAAGTGCGGTCATGACCGTTTACTGTCTTGTGATGCGCTCATTCAAGATTCATGTGGGACTCTTGCTCTCGTGGCAAATTTGCAGTCTTCCCTAATCGGATGTTCTCTGTGCGGCAATCTACGTAATCTACGTTGTGAAGCAAAGTGCGAATGAGCTAGCAGCTAGGACGCCCTCCCCTTGTCCCGCCATTCCCCATGATGTTTTCGGGACATGGCAACGTCGCACAAGACATCATGAAACTTGTCGATCAGCTTGACTTCTTATCGGGACTTCGACACTCCATCCGTGTGTGTGTGTGTGTATGTGTGCCTCTGAGACCATCTCCTGATTGAGTTTCGGCACGTCGGCATGAGATTTGTGGATGATGTATGATCCCGCGGTCTACATGGAGGCCAAGATCATCGAGATCTCCCATGATTTCGACTTCATTTGTCAGTCCCGGTTGCCGGCCCAAAAACTTCCGTTCCTAGGGTTTGTGGGGAGTAGAGTTTTGGACTTTGGGCCTTCAGGGTTCTTGGCTGTTAGGGTTTAGCGGGCACTCGACTTTAGAGTAGGGTTTGGGTTTGATGGTTGCAGGTTTCGGGGTTAAGTGAGTTTAGGGTCAAGAGTCTATTTGGATTAGGCGCGCGAATCCCGGGTGCGCGAATCCGGCGCAGAGTGGGCCAATCCGCGGTGTTCGAATCCTGCGGCCAGTTTACAGTGAGCAAATCGGCCTTTCCGGTGCTCGAATCGGCCTCCTAGCTTCGCCTCCCTTCGAAGATTCCTGGTCCGACGGGCATGAACAGGCTCAGCACTTTACAGTCATCCGCTTGCCATGCGAAAAATAAGTGCCTGCCTTCAAGTCGGGAGATCGGCGGCTGCGATCTAGATGTGGTACAAGTAGCTGGGCAGCGCAAGCACGCCCTGGGCGCAAACTGAAGAGCTCTTCGTACCCAGTCAATCGCGGCAGAAGTTCCGAAGGCTTAGCCAGGAGGCATGCTTGAAGATGAGGGTGCGACTGCCGGACCCGATGTCAAAACTTCTGAAGGAGATCGGTGGAAGGACGTGATACGAGGACATCGAGTCGAACGTACGAACAACAGACCGGCAGGGTTGTTTCGGCGCATCCATATGGTTACGTCCGAGTGCCGGTGTTGATGATATGTTCAAGGCTAATGAAGATGCGGATTAATATCACGGCACGGAAAGTGGAATCACACGGCAGACACAATCTCTTCTGAATGTCAGAGATGGATGGTGATACATCCGCAAGAACACAGAGTTGGTCTCACGGCAAGATCCACGAAGACGGCACCAATTAACTGTTCGTATGTCTCGGGAGTTTGACGTAGCATTGGGAACGACTGATCTCCTTGCAAGGCTGGAAGCGCTTCAGCGGAGGGTGTGGGGCCTCTGCACACGAACTCCTGTTCTCCCTTTTCTGAGTCCCTTCCAAGAGATTGTTATCTCCCAGGTCTCGCACGTGTTCATTCAGACAAAGCTCTGACACGAAGTCCCAGGACAGTTGGAAGGCTCGTGCCAAACAGACATGTCCGTGGAGTCCATGTTCTGTGCACCAGGCACGATAGCCGCTCACCATCACCCGGAACTGGTGGCTCTCTCGTGTTCTCCTGGAGATCGATAACCATTGCTTTTGTGTACGTGTTACGTGAATTGAATCCTGAGGCAGAGCGTCTCCGTCTGTGCCGCAGCGCATGAGGCAGACATATGAGCTGAGTCGTATCGAACATCTTGCAGTTTAGTTGATGGTCGCTTGCTGCGAGAGCAGACTCAGGGGTCCACCTCAGTCAGAAGCTAAGTTCTCCACATTTCCCTGCCGTGCGTGGTTACACGAGTCTCAAGTGCACAGGACACAGAGCAACACCATCGGTGGGTGCCAAGGACCTTTAAGGTCCGCCGCGACGCACGGCCAATTTCGCCATCTGCTTCCGAGGCCGCTGCACTCTGCAGATTAGCTGTCGACTTCCCACATCTTCCCACACGAATCCACACGAGCTGACCAGCAGGAAAGATATCGGGAATCGCCTTAAGTATGAGGTTTGTTAGTCTACCAGCCACGACTGACTTTAGGATTTCCTGCACCGTTCAGCGTATGCCAGCCCTCCCTCCAATTTCGCGATTCAGGGTTTCTTTGCCATTGTTTCAGGGGCCACTGTCTATCTGGAGCTCAGGGCTTGCCAGTTTGTATGGGGCTATTGGCTCTGTGTCGGGTTTAAGGCTCTGCCAGCCATCGCTCCTTTTGTCACCGAGATTTGGTGGGCAGTTGCTATACTGCTATACGACAATTCACTGACATCTCGGATGCACTCATGCTATCCTGACTGTTGCTTGACTGCAAAGCAGGATAAGCAGCGATGCATTACGTTTTTCAAACAGTCGTTTCAAGACCACTTCAAGCGGCATCAGGAGTTTGCAGACTCGTCTGAGGGCCTGCCAACCATCTCTTTGTGTAGGATTTCAGGGTTTGCCAACCAATGCTTTTTCAGTCCGAGAAGTGGTTTCTTGCGTTCTTTTCGCTGAATCTGGTTTTCGATGCGCTCATGCCTTGTCCTCATGTAGATTCGTTCATGTATCTGCAAATGCCTGCTTGGCGTTGGCCAACTGAACATGTGGGGAACCGGCTTCAGCGTGCTGGAGAGAATGCAGACAGGGTGTTATCCCAACTGCGCAGCGCATGGTGGACGACTCAGCTTGACAGCGAGATTCCACTTTTTCACACTGCACCCCAAACCACCCAGAACCCAGACCTCTCTCTTTCGTTTACAGGTCAGCGCGCCTACTGAGCTTGCATCCAGATCCGTGGCAGTGCGAACTTCAAAGGTGCGTGCCTCGTGGGTTCCCGCATTGACTCCCGGCTCCTGGATACTTTTTGGAAGACACTCTCATGATTGTTTTGCAGCTAGTTTGAAGTTCCCAGAGGAGTGGTGCCAGCTGTCGTCGTCACAGTTGTAGCCGCAGTTGCAGTGGCTGTCCTAGAGGCAGCGGAAGCGGCAGTTGGTACTGTACAGCGGCGGTGGTGGTGATGGTGCTGTCGTCATCGTCGTCATCGTCGTCGTAGCCGAAGTAGAATTAGGAGCTGAAGTTAAAGTTGACGTAGAAGAAGAAGTAAAGTAGTAGTGGAGGAGTAGTAGTTGTCGTCGTCGTCGTCGTCGTCAGTAGAGCAGGTTTAAAGTAGCAGTAGTGTGTAGTAGTGTAGCAATGCTGTACAGTAGTAGTAGTAGTAGTAGTAGTAGTAGTAGTAGTAGTAGGAGTAGGAGTAGGCGCCCCCCCTACCAACTACAGTTGCTGTAGACCATCTTAAGAGCACATCTGTTTTGCTCGGTATTTACAGCACTTTCGTCATGTACGATCATCAAAAGAAGCCTCAATATCGACTTGTCGAGTTTGCAAACTCGGCCTCTTGATTTTGGACTTGCTTTGGGGGGGAGTGAGGGGGTGGGGGAGGGATGATGACGACAGTGTTGCGCAA